CTTTATGTAGAGCTTCATTTCTTTTGTTTGACTACGACGAGTGACAAGAAATCTAATAACTGGCAAACATCAATAAAAGACATCTGGAACACTTTCGACATTTTTTAGCTGAATATATTTTTTCACGATTTTTATACAATCGACATTTTTCTTTTCGTATTGTGGTCGCTCTGTTCGATTTTCTGTTTTGTTATATATGATTCCATATTTCTAAAAGAAAAATATATCATCCCATAGAGACGAATCTAGTGAACAAGTTTTCATGAATAATTTTTTTTTTTGGAAAGCTTCTTAAGAGTAGAGGACCTGATAAGAATTACCTTTTTGCCTGACAGCAAAATGGCTGGAAAAATCGACTTTTTTAAAATTTTGAAGATTTCATAACTTCACGAAAACTCATCCAACTCACGAGTTATTCTATTTTCTTTGTCATCTCAAATGCATAATAGTTGTATATGCGAACTCTTTTTAACTATGTCTCTTCTAAAAATAATCACATAAATTCACAATGATGTGTAGCAATATATGTATATAAGGATTTTTGTATCCTATAAATAAAAATATTGACTATCAATGATCGATGTAACCTATTCTGATTTATTTACAAAATCAACATTGATTGATGACTCCATAGATATTTAAAATTCTTAGAATTAAATCCTGTTAGTTTTTTCGAACTAATCGCTACAATGTTACGATTGATTCTGAAATATTGATTACTACTTTTAGGTTGTTATCGTGTTTTTGTAACTTAACAACTCAACGCTGTTGTTATTTTCTTTTTCTTTTCATTCTGTGTCGCCCATAAATATAAATATTTAAAAAATTCTACAAAGCTTTCAATTTTATCGACGCAAAAGACAAGACCATGCAGACGTAGACAAAGAACGACAAAAACGCACATCTACTACATATGTAATAAAAAACAATACAAAGGTTGCATGGTTTGTTTTCTCTGCAAATGCTGCCGCTTGAAATATGACATAGAATGGAGAAGTTTTTTACACTGGTTGTTAATAACCATTTTCTACGTCATATTTAAAAAATCATCGAAATAAAATATGTGCATAATTTGATAATATTCAACAACAATGCAATTGTCTACAAGATATTTACAATCATAATGAAAACTTGCCAGTATATATTTTATTCTCATAAATTTACATATGAAAAAAATGACATCTATTACTAGAACTCAACAAATAATCAAAACTATTAATGACAGACGTCGATAATTGTTTGATAAATCAAATTTTACTCTATCAATAGAAATACAAAATTGATAAATGTACGAAAAGACTTACAAAATATCGTTACATATTGATATTGTATTCGATAATGATTTACTAATCTTATTTGTTTTCTTTTATTACATAATCGAAATATTTATTTGAAAATATTGATATTTCAAATAAAAATTTTCATGATGTTTATTATAACAAGTAGGCATCTTTTGATTATATCAAATATGAAAAGATTTCTTAATTTTAGAATATATTCAAACAGAAATAGAATCATAAATTTTTCTTAATCCAACCAAGACTAAGAACTTTATTCTTCTTTAATTATTAAAAACTCTTAATAAACGTAATAATAATCATTAATGTTTATTGCATAACACCAATAATTGGTTAACTCATTTAGAGAAATTCTATCTAACGAATAGGCCGAAAGTTTTGAGACAAAATGTTTGTTTATTTTTGATTATCTTGAAAGTGTTTCTAAAATGTAGGCTTAGAAATTTTCTTGAGACCAATGAGATGATCTTTTGAGAAAGGTCCAAATTTTTCATATACTTTTGTATTTTCATTATTGATACTTTTATTTATATATCAGCTTGTAGAGCAGAAGTTATTCTACAAAATATACTATTGGAATTTTTCTACAGGTCACTTCAATTTTCGGTTTTTCTTAAATCCTTTGATAAAGTACCTTTGGTCTAATTTAGATAAAAGCCACAGCTTAGTTCAATAGAAAATTTTGTAAAGATATTGGTTTTGCCATTTAATATACTTTCTTTAAGCCTTCAAAGAAAATGTCCTTCACTATTCTCGAATAAAACCTGAGATAAAATTTCTAAGTCCATATTCGGAAAGTACACGATATGTTGGTCTGAAATCATAGCTTTTGACTTCTCAGAAATATTTTCAAGGGAGCCAAAAACAAAAACAAATATTTTGTCCTAAAACTTTCGGCTTACCTGTTAATCATGATCATGATCTCAAATATTTGAATTATTAAAGCAATATTTAGTTATTTAATGGATACAGTAATTCTATATAAGAAAATTGGTAATATACAGTGAGTACCAAAATTATTCAATAGGATTTATTTTCGATTTTTTCCGCTACATGAAGCTTTCGAAAGTATATAAATAATAATTCGAGTAGAGAAAATGGTGTCGAACAAGAATATACGGAAATAATAATTATTATCTAATTCTCAAAGGTAAGGTATCCGGAAAACTTAGTTTTTCAATATCTAGAATGTATAAATATGATTTTTTGACTGAGACATAACCATATTGCGGAAGGCTTTAAAATCGTTTTTTTTCTTTGTTATTTCCTATAGAAAAAAAAAAAAACATTTTTGGACTTTCAATCAAATTACTTTTTTTCAGGCAAAAAATGTCATCGAGGACTCGGAAATGTCTCGTTTTCTCGGCAATTATTTACTCTATCGTTCTATGTAGTCTAAACAAAATTATTTTTACGCATTCTAGATGTTAAAAACCTAGATTTTCTCGATACTCAATCGTTGAGAATTTGACAATCATATTTATTTTCTTATAATTATGTTGGAAACAAATTTCTTTACTCGAATCATTATTTAGATTTTTTGTAGTAGAAAAAAAATTTGAAAACGAATCTTGTTGAACAATTTTACTACACACTATATATATATATATATTGCAAAAGAGGATAGAATACAAACATATTTTGTTGAATATGTCACATTATAAAAATGCTTATCTACATATTTTAATAACAATAGATGTATTAAATAAATTAAGAAATGAAATTTTTTTTTATTCTATTTCTAGATTCATGACTGCAGTAATAAATACGTCTGTTCTTGTTCTTCTTGATCCTAATAATCAACATCAACAATTCGATGGTCATTATGATGCACAATTATTTTCTCGATTTACTGACAAAAATCGTTGTGTATTACATGTATTATCTCGTCTTGCACATGTTCGTTTACTTCATTTCTTTATACCAAATGCTGAAAATACTTTAATTAGTGCACGTGTTACTTTATTTAAAAATACAATATTTTATATTTATTGTATAGATGAAACGAGTGTTGCAGCAATGAAACAAATATATAATTATCCAATGTTTGTAAAAATATTTCATGTTCAATGGTTATCAACATATCTATATCAAGCAGCTATTGCTCATTTAGTTGAACAAGCTGAACGGACACAACATGAACCCGAAGAATATGATACAGCATTACAAGCAGCAGCTGAATTTGCAAATATATTAGCTAATGAACTTAATGAACATATGGTTGTAAAAACTGGTGTACAACCAGATGATCGTATATAATAAAATAATGAAATGTTAATAAACAAAGAAAAATCTCTGATGAAAATCATTCTCTGTTAAATGTCAATCTGACATTATGGAGAAGAATACGATTAAGAAAATTTAGATTCGAATACCGTACCCTCTTGAATACGATCTTGAGTAAGCGACTAAAATTTCATAGAAGGGATGTATAAGTATTGGTTCTAGTCTTCTCTTAACCTATACCCACATCTCTACTCTCAACTTTGGTTTACTAGCAATCACACTTTAATACACCATGTTCACATGATTGAGAATTATCCTTGTTGATTATTAGCCTTTCAGCAGTGTCACATATCCAGGATGCGGGATATGCAAAAGAAAATTGTATATCTCCATTATATTTCTATTGGATGAACTGATTTTTGTAATTTCTTTTGCTTTGTAAATATTTGCTGAACATTTTTAATAAACTAGACATGTTGATCTCAAGTCTAATGTCCGTGAAAATATTAAAACCGCATCTGTTTTGCATTAAAGTTTTACATAAGAGACGAATAAATCATGCTGAATAATGTTTATAGAGCAAGAAAAATAGGCCTGAAATAACGAGAAGCTCACAATAATGAAATGAAATTCAAGAAAAAATTCTACATACTGATTTTTGACAACTCAAACAATGACTTTATATTTATAAATAAAAACTCGGAAATGTCCTTTGCCAATAGCACAAAAATCAATTCATCCAATAAAACCAAAATGAAGGTATGCGGCCCATGTGATAACTACTACTGGTAAACCATCAGCAGTTTATGACAGAATTGAGTCAATGTCGGTACATTCTGATAATGTCGATGCATTTAAGCCGCAGAACCCAAATCGGCTTCAGTTATATGAGATAAATTTTTCTATTATAGATGACGCTGAAAAAATTCTTATTAGTAAAATATATTCTAAAATTGTTTTTCTTCTCGATTAAAACAAGTTTTATTACTAAAAGTGAACCATAAATAATCAAAGAATATTTTAGTTCTTGTTTTTTTTTTTCAAGATAGTTCACTTTTAATCATACACATCCGAATTTTGACTGTAGATCGTTACAAAAATTAATTTTTAGGATAAAAATAAGAACAGATGAATATGTATTTTTATTTTTTTTTGCTTATGTTAGTTATAAAGAAAATTAAAAACAAAAAGCATGCAGAAAGAAAGCAATGATACAACTGAGTTGTTCAATATTGATGATCTTTTAATGAATGTAAAATGAAAAAAAAAAAACAAATAATCAAAATGAATAACTAATGCAGGACATACCAAAACGAAAAGAATGAATAATCCTATGAATAAACAAGGATGCCTGGAATGACAAAATGCCACCGGCTTATCATTAATACAAGACAACAAAAAGAAAGAAAAAAAAAACAGAACAAACGAAATAACTACGATCATTATCGTCTTTTATTTTGATTTATTTTTGTTTATTTATGTTTTACGTGTTAAAACTTTTGTACCTTTCTTAACTTGTGGTTTATTTAAAATGACACCTTGTTTTCGTGCTTGTCCAGATGTTTTTTTCGATGTTGAATAAATTGATTTACGTCGTTGTACTTGTCGAAGAGCATTTTTAGCTTGTAAACGATTAGCAAGTTTTTTAACTTTATATATACGTACAATCCAATGTTCAGTTGTATATGCTTCTTCAACATGTTGTAAATCAAAATTTTTATTTCCAATTTCAACATGACGAGTTCGATCAAAACTAAATACAAAAAGAAAAAAAAAAACAATAAACAAAATTTTTCTTCCTTGTGAAAAAGAAAATTCTTTTACCCAGGTGGTGAACGAAAATCAGTTTGTAATTCACCAAAACGATAATAACATAATTTATACATTAAACAATTAAGTAATATAGGTGAACCAGATCGATCAACACGAAATTCACCATTTTCAGTAAAATAATCTTGTTCACGAATATCTTTCGGATGTTCACCTATAATAAACATAAAATATAAATTATATTGTATGTATTTCATCAGGTGTAAATTCAATGTTTTGCTCTTGTGTAGTGTTTCTTGGTATATTCTCAAAAGTCAAAATTTCTAGAAAACCAAAATCTTAGATTTTTCAGCACCTAAAGTTTGTTTTGACAATACAACGGAATATTCTGAAAAAAATAAGATGTCTCCGAGGTCTTCATTGCATCTTTTGGTAGAGCAACCTATCAGTTACGGAAGACTTAAAAAACAATTTTTGGTATTTTTTCTCATCCAAGACAACAAAAAAATATCTTTGGGTCTTCTGGTGCAATTCAGCTAAAAAACATCATGAAGAGCGCAGGGACCTCTAATTTTTCCTAAAAATGTTCTACATTATCGTTCTCTGTTGTAAAAGTGAGTTTTTTTGTTATCAGATTCTGAATACTGAAAACCGAAGATTTCTTGGGAATATACCAAAGAACTCAGTCTCCTAATAACTTTGTTCGGAATAATTTTTTTCTTTTACCTTCAGCAATTCTAACCATCCATAAAAATTTATTAATATCATCTCCTGAATATCCAATCATACCACCAAAAATAACTAAAACATAATCAACATCAAGCATAGTCATTATTTTATATGCTTCTGATTCATTGCTTGACATTGCTTTTCCAACCAATGCAATATGACTATTATTCCATGTATTATTATCAACTAAAACCGTACGATTACCCATACCAGCTATTTGATAACCATAATCCCACCAAGACATAACACGAGCTCTTTCAGGTGTATTTTTTCTTAACCAATAATAAGCTTCACGAAAATCATCAATTATATATCTTGAACCATCATTATTATATGATGCAAGTACAATAGATGGCGATGAATAAGCATTTGAAGTAACCCATGTACAATGAACAGCAAGAAGCATTAACATCATTGCAACTAAAATTAAATTTTATAATCAGTTTATAAATTTACAAAAAAAAATTAAAAAAAAAATAAATTTATTTACTGCAAATAACAACAACTGTTTTTATATTTGATGAAACAATACTTGTGTCATCATCTGTATCTTGATTAGTATTTGTAGGACCACGTCGTCCTGGTATTGGTTTTGGTTTACCAGCTTTATCATATAAATTTCGATTATTTTTTTCAGTTTCATTTTCATTTTCATCATTATCATTTGAAGGTACAACTGGACTTGTACTCATATCGGATGTTTCTGTATCCGCATAATAATCAAGAGTTTTTGATAAAGCAATAGCAGCTAAGCAAAAAATGACATTTAATAACAAAACAATAGAGAAGTGGGGCTTGCCAAATTTAGTGGCTTATCTTGAACTAGGATTTCATACATATGATTTTGAAGAGCAAGTTAAGGTACATCGAGTCATATAGTGTTCATAGGCATTGCAATTCATAAGATATTCTGAAATTCTGTTGTTAAAATCAGTTCGATACAGTTACAGTAGTGTCAAACTTGAATTCAAGTATTCAACTATTCTAAGATGCTACAGGCATCACCTGGGATGTTACGAATATCAAATGGGATGCTGCAGATACTCTGTGCACGGAGGCGCGCATGGGTTGCAAGGCTTCGCGTTCCCTCGCCGCCACACTGATATAAAAGGTCAGTTAGGAGGCGGAGCGCGCTTCCTCTAAGCGAATTTGTGGCACCGATAATTGCATAGTCGAATTCAATTTTCAAGTTTGACATGTACTCGTCTCTTCATATAGGATTATAGTGAATAATCTTGCAAGTCAACAATGATGTCCTGCTGTTGTGAAAGATGTTATGTGTGCAATTTTTGAGAAAGTTTCACGTTGGTGCTCACTTGTTCTGTGGCACAGAATTGAACACACTGAAATATCAAGTAGCTAAAAAGTGACCATTTCTAAGTTATGAGGAAAGCAACGATGAAAACTATTAATTACAGAATATCGAAGAGAGTACCTAAAACTGTATCGAACTAATTTTAAAAACAAAATTTGAGATTATTCTATGGATTACAATACCTATGTATACTTTATAATATCTCCAAGCATTATAACTAGTGTACCGACTCATATCACGTCAAAGCTCTCATAAAATTTGATATCCTATATACCATTCGATATGCCGTAAATTGCTCTACAAAACCATATATATAGTATCCTAGTTCAAAATAAGTCACAAAATCTAGCAAGATCTTTTGATTTTGTTTTTACCAAGTACACAAACACATGGTGTTAATGTTAACATTAAACGAATCATAACACCAGCAAAATACGATGCAAATACTGCATAAAGAACAATAAAAACACGTTCATCATTTAGTTCTTTAATACAAAACCATGCACCAACAGGAAATAAACAAATTAAAAGATGAAGATCTACGAAAAAAAAAAAAACATAAACAAATTCTTTTTAGTTTTTTTTACTATATTAAATTTTGTTATCAAATTTTACCAAAAAAGAATGATGTCCATGTTGTTGGTTGATGTTCACTAACACTAGCAATAATTGGTATATGTATTTTCGCATAATTTGTATCCCATAATGAATAAAATCTTCCTGACCATGGTGCAATATAACCAGCATATGTTAATATAACAACAACAGCAAATACACTTAAACCAATAAATATCATTAAACCAAAAAATAATTGTTTTAAATCATCAGCACGTGGTAGTTTTGTATAAAGATAATCAATGAATGCATATGCTTGTAAAAGAGCAAAAACACCAGCTGCTAACATATGTTCACTTGTACGAACAGGTTGAAAACCAACAAATGGAATTTGCATAGAAAGAATTAAACCAAGAATATAAAATATTGAATAAGATACATATAATCGTAAAGAATATCGACGAAGAACAAGTAAAATAAATACATGAACAGGAATTAAATTGATGATAAATACATAACCACCCCATGCTGAAACCTTCAAAATAAAAAAAAACCACACGTATTCAATTTTTTCATCCAGTAGAATTGAGTATTGAGTCAATTGATTATAATAAAGTTTTAAGAATAGAGATCATGTTATTTTATGAGTTTATATCGAAAGGGTAGGATGAGTGTGGATGTTGATCTTCCCTTCAACCTGCAGTAGTCGACTTAACACTTTTCACTTGCTTAGTTGCCATGATAAATTTTTCTCGACGCATTAGTCACAACTCAAGTCAGTCACTTGTTCTCTACAGTTAATCATCATTTCGACATGAGAAAAAGTTTGCCGAGGTTCGTAAGAATGTGACAAGTGCGCATTTGAAATCCGTTTTTCTAAAAATTCAATCCTTCGCTAGAACATATAAAAATGCAGAAAATGATAACGCAATAGTTCAGATTTATAACGCGACTGAAATCCATTATGATTTGCTCTATAGATGTCGTACAGGATCGCGTTTTGATATTTTTCGGGTTCATACAGTCAGTCGCCTTTTCTTAAGTTAAATATTAAGATATTTGTTAGAAATGAAAACAATTTTTTTCTACTTTATAGCTTATTGAAGGCTTTTTTACAATGTTTGGGAACCGTCTCGATCCGATGTTTTATTATTCCAAATAAATAGTTTCTAGGAGTAGCGTAAAGGGTTAACGTAAGGTTTCGAGAAAAGTTAGACATACAAAATTGTCCTTCTTGTATATGATAAGAGCAAAGTACTTATAAATAATATGCATTTCTTATCAAAGAATCCATTCAAATACCACTAATTTCAAAAGAAATACATTAAGCATAAATTCCAACGTATTTCTCATTGTTATGTTGATCATCGTATATAGTAAATACTACGGACGTCACAGAAATAATGAACCTTTCAGTATTTTACTGGCATCTCTATTGATTCTCATTTGTTCAGACGTTATTTTTTTTTGCCAGAAATATTCGCCATATTAACCTCTACAAAAAACCTATATATTATGTTTGTTATAAGATGAAAAGTGAACATTTTTTATTTTGCGCGTACAAAAATGACAATTTCATGATTTAAACGACTTCTTAACGTTCGCGATACCATCAAAAGATGATCCGTGATATTAGTTCTATCTAGCTGTAAATACCACCGGGTAGACCACCCTCTATCTCAGACCAATAAAATGATGTAAAAAGTAAAGTACACACGCAAGCGCAAAAGAAGGTAATTACAGAAAATAAAAATCTATCAACAAAAACATACCATGTAAAAATACGATAGTGCTGTGCAACATGACCAAAAAACACTACCAGTTTTAACCGAACGAATCCAAAGAAAGTAAGTAAACATAAGAGCAAAGATTGCAATACCTTAAATAGATTCATGTTTTCTTTTTGTTTTAAAAAAACAAATTTATATATTAATACCTTCATTATCATATGATCCAGCTACACTACGTGATGAATAACCTGGTGCAATAGCAATAAATGCTGCTGCAAATAATCCAGCACGTCTTGACCAAAGTTCTTTTGTAAGTAAATAAGTTGCTAGAGCTGTTAAACCACTAAAAAATGGTGCAAGAAAAACACAAATTTCACGTATATGAATAGGAATATTAATCATATGTAAAAACCAATGAATAACACCACTTGTAACCATTAAACCTAAAAAGAAAAAAAAACAATTATATTTATTATTTGACAATAAAACAAAAAAAAAAGAATATTCTTCTTACCTGGATAAATAGTTCCACCAACAATACGTCCAAGTGGATACCAAGCAAGTTCATCAAACCAATTAAGAAAATTATAAAAACCGTTTTCTGTCATATAAGCTGTTGAACGATAATTAAACCATGGATCAAATTCATGTATAATTGATTCAAAACGTATAACAGAAAATAATCGAGACATAAAACCTGATATATAAGCACATGTTAAAACAATAAAACTAATCAATGATGTTAGACCAGTTGGTGAAAGTATTGATGATGTTGGTAATATATTTGATGAACTTGATAAACGTTTTTTTGAATTAACATTTGTTTGAAATTCTGAATCAGTTGTTAATGATCCAGAATCATCATTAATAATGGACTGATTTGTTGTTACTTGAGCGGCCATCTAAGTAGAAAAAAAAATGTTTTTTTTTTTTCAAATGAACAATAATAAAAAGAACAACAAGAAAATGTAGACATAAAGCTTGGAATGATTCTATAGGTCAAATGAAAGAACAAATCAAATAGTGTTGAATTTAATCAAAACTAATCTACTGCTATCTATATTTTTTTCTCTTCTTGGATATTTTCATATAATATTGTTTGATCTATATTCGTCTTAATATACTAAGAGAATATATTTTGCAGATTATTTTCTTTTTCTGTGAAGAATAAGCTATGAAATATATTTCGTATGTCGCGTGTGTCTAGTTTTTTTTTTTTTAATTGGAAATTATTTGAGAATTTATTTTCGATGAAATTTAAATTTATTGAAAATAATCTATTTTAAAAATATTTATTTTATAGTTCAATCAGAATAAATATCTTGCTTATAACTAAATAATTTATTTATTAATCGATTACATGATTGGTCATTATATAAATATGTCATTATGACGTTTCTTGTGCTTGTTTATTTTTTGATTTTCCTTCACATGAAAAATTATCGATAACAGTTTTAATTTGTTTTTTTTCAACTACAAATTAAAATAGAATAAAGAAAACATTATAAAAACTGTATATTTCGTATCGATAGAAATGTGAAACTTACATGTGTTCTTAACTCTCATCATACTAATACAAAATACGTACAGAGAACAATCTCTATTAGATTGTACTTGATTTTCGGGCATAGATTCGGGTCTGGAATCAACTTGATGGACTCTATCCATTTTATCCTTGATATTTTTAATATAAATTTTTATTTGCACAAAAATCAAAAACTGTACTATTTCAAACATTTGCAAACGTACTGTTCAGTGTCTTCTTCCGTTGCTAAGTAAGTTTGGGAAGAGAATCTGATGCCTGTTGTCCACGGTGACTAAGGTTTGTAATGGGGAGAAGATGCAAAACTCCGACTTAAACTTACACGTACTTTTATCTTGGAAAAAATATGTGAGTTCTACACAAATGTATAGTAATTGATTTAATCATAAAAATAATTAAAATACTATTCAAAACATCAAAAGCTAAATATGGAAAAGAAATCTTTTTGTTTCTTATTGTTTATGTATTAATTAAAAATATTCAGCTACGAACTTTTTGAAAATGCAAAACGAATTGGTGTTGTAGTCATAGCTTTCGTTTGGTTCTGCTTAGAAAGGAAGATGAAGAGTTAAGAAAGAAAGCCTTCCAAAACTATAGAGAAACCATTTATTCATCAGTTTTTTTGTCAGAAAAATATATTCTCCGCTGGAACTTTTAATACTCTTGATATCAATTGTGAACATATTTTTCCTTCGTCGCAATTTCTCGTGTTGACAAATTCGTAAAGAAACTTCTGATCAATGGAAACAAATACAGGATGTTCCAAACATTCGAACGAAAACACAAAACGTGAATAGCTTCTCAACTATTCAAGGGATGAGTGTGAGTGTAAATGATGAGAAGATTTACACCCGGTTAAAGATAAGTAATACCATTCGTTAGACACAAATAAATTCAAGCAAATCATAATAAAATGAAAAATGCACTAAAAAGGCCATCTATTACCTTTTGAATTGTAGTTAATTCTGTATCAAAGGAAAGAATTAAAGTCAATCGATCTGAATCTATCGGCTTTATGAATTGAAACCGTTTACATGTTTATTTTATTAGTTTGATCATCCATGCTTTAAAAATTTCTTCGATATATTTCCAATAAAATACCAGTGCCTTTCAACATCATGATCACAAACACTTTTAGTGATGATAAAGAACAAGTTCTTAAAATAGTACAAGCAAATACTGAATCCCAAATGATTAATGATATAAAGCAATATTTCAACACTGTTATTAAATTGTTATAGTAGGAATTTGGCCACGTTCGGAAATATTTAACATAATTGCTGAAGGAAAGGTCGAAAAAGTTCATGATATTGATTGAACATTTCATATTAAGGCCATTACGGTAAACTAATATTCGTGATTCGATCAAGAAAACTTAATGAACTATGTAAAACTGAATGACAAATATTGTCAAATAGTAATAACAAAGAGAACTGTTTTTCTCAAATGACATTCCTTTCATTTTAATCCAATACGAAATAGATGAAACATTAAAAATCGTATATCAACTAAATGTTTATTTAAGAATGACTTAGAAAAGAAAAATTGATTGAAATATTTCAATAAGCATTGTACAAAACTCATTACGATAAATTTATGGAAGTAACTTGAAGTATTCGAGAATAAGTGATTTGTCTTATCGATTTTTCTGCAATTGGTTTGTTTTAGGTATTCTTTCAAATAGAAATTAATCATTATTGAAAACTTCATTCTTTTTCATATCATCAATAAATCGAGACTTTTTATCAGTTACTTTCTTACATGTACTTTGAAAGACAGACATAATTAGTGTATTTTTGAAATTTATTGCAATTTGTTGTTAAAAACAAGAATCGAGCTATATATATATTTTACAATTTCTCAGTTAGACATTTATTTTTCTGAATAAAATTGTTTACCTGATTTTAGAATTGTTGTTTCATGTGGTCCAAATAAAACTCGTTCTGATCAATTTTTATCAGTAAACATTCGTTGTTATTGGATTCGACTTAGTTATAATTTAATCATATATGTGATACTCGAAACTTGAATTCAAGTATTCAACTATTCAACTATTCAAATATTCAAGTATTCAGACTATTCAAGTAGTCAAGTATTTAAATTTTAACTTCTCGAGTGTTCTGTGAATAGTCAGTGGGAAGCGCGTTTCCCCACCTAACACAACTTTTATTTCGGCGTCGCGGCGTGGGGGCATGAAGCACCCCCGAAGAGCCGCGACCCATGCACGTCTCTGTGTACACCATTATTCCTACTCAGTGCTGCGCATTAGCTTAAGCTTCTCACATATTTCTTGTAGCATCCCAGATAATGTCTGCAGCATCTCAACCAAAACCTGTCGTATCCTAGAGAATACTTGTAGCATGTTAGAGGATGCTTGTAGCATTCTAGGTGATACTTGTCGCATCCTATGGGATGCTTGTAGCATTCTTGGTGATACTTGTAGCATCACAGGAGATGCTTGTAGCCTCGCAGACAATACCTATCGATATTAGATGATTATGGTGGCATTCCAGCTGTTGACTAGTTGAGCACTTGAATAGTTGAATACTTAAATACTTGAATAGTGGAAGTAGTAGTTGAATACTTGAATTCAACTTTCAAGTTTGACACTACTGTATTTCCATAGACACTAATGACGTTAAACATCGCAAAGAATCATATCGGAGAACAAGCGGCTCGACATCTGGCAAGAGCCCTACGCCAAAATCAGGTAATGTACTATTTGGTCCTTTCAGATGTTCTCCAAACGTTTTATTGTGTCTCTCAAAAAGATACTCATCAACTTGCAACTTTCTGATAACTACATTGGAGACAACGGAACTCAATACATTGCGGAAGCGATACACACAACCGAAGTAACAATACAAAATCCTTCTACAGTAAAACTAAATAGTAGTCCCTAGGAACACAACAAGCTAAATTATTTGTTGGCACGACTCGATCCAAATCATGCACGGGTGCTTACTGACACACTGCAAACCAACAAAGTAGAATTATTTTTCCTCTTCACTAATCGTTCCAAACTCGAACTAAGTCATCATCTCGCATAGACTTTGAAAATACTGAATCTTTCAAACAACATCATTGCCTGTACAGAAGTACAATATCTCGCAGAAGCACTACGATATAATCATGCAATATTCTTTGCAACATCATGGAAATCTTTAATATCTAATTTCGGCATCACTTCACATAGATATTGACAAGACTGCATCTCGTATAATAAAGTTGGAGACGCAGGAGCAGTGCCGCAAATGTAGTAGAAAATAATCATGCAATATTCTTTGCAACGTCATCAAAATCCTCTATATCTATTTTAGACACCAATTCATATAGACATCGGCTACATGGATCTCTGGAAGAGTAGGATTGGTGATCCCTATTGTTTCGAAACAGACAGTGATAAAACTGATTTTTTTAATGGAATAAAATTGATAATACAACAGCACATATCCACGTCTGACATGACAAATTAATCGACAAAAAATTTTTCTGTCATCATGTACGTCTTTTAATAGAGATCTGATGTAATCTTTGACGGGCATCATCAACATTGTATATCTAGAATATGAAGATTCTCAAAGTCGCCGTGTTAAGATAGTGGTATTTATCAGTCTGCAGTATAGCTATTTTTTCGTACCATTTCAATAATAACTATTTGTTGTCATTCATATACATACGATTTTTCTGAATCTCATGTAGAAATTTACAGTGATTTAGATTGAGAAAGCCGAAGACACAGAGTTCCTTTATTAAAGTCATTATAGTGGTGGTGGAAGCCGCAGCTCCCTAGTTGATGATTTTTTAGGGATTGAAGGTCAGTCGAATTGTGTAACCGGTTGGTGAATCGCGATTGAAGTCAATTATGTCGAAAAGAAGTTTAGTTCAGCTGCGCGACGGTCCGAAGAAAGTTTACGAGTGAACTTAGGGGATTTGTTATGTGAACAGCATGATAGATGTTGGTGTGCACTAGTACAGATCAATTGGGAATGAATCCAACTAGGTATAATATAATGAGCTTAGCAAATAAAAACTGGATCTGGTGAATATCGAACGAAAATGGTAATGAATAGTTATACCATAAGGACCAGTGTAGGCTTGTCTAAATATACTACATGTGTACCCAATCAGACTGTTATCGATCTATCCGTCAATACTGGAATCGGAGCATACCTAAATCTATGCTGCGAAATGTAGGGTTACTGAGAATCGCGAGTTTTCTTATTGTCGATTAACTTTGAGTGAATATTGCCTATTCCAAATGATTCACGTTGTAATGATTTCACGCACTATTTGTTGTGCATCGATTCATTCTACTATTCATTACTGCATGTTTATCCTGTTGTTTTTTCAAGTCAA